AAAATATAACAAAACGTACATTTGGTTGATAACTTTCTCCTGTGTTAACATCGAGTCCCCCTCTGAAGAAAACAATGGTAAAACCTGGAGTAAGTTGCCAGAAAACACCTGCCAAGCTCTGTGTACATGTAACTTCCGTGTTTCCATCTTTCTAACTATGTGAGAATCTGGGGCTTCATCTCCAGTACGGATGGCATAAACAGCATAGGCGACACTTCTAAAGCGTTAAAGTTTTGAGTTAATAACTACTCAGAGGAACAAGTAATAACCAAGCAGAAAAAAACGACGACGAAACATGTGATAATCGACTCTGACATCTTTCCTTTAACATTATCAAACGAAGGCGATGCAAGCAAAGTCAAAAAAGAAACAGTAAATGACATTTTCCCTAGGCAAATTTAATATTCACATAGCAACAATGAGCCTGTTGAACACAAGAGCTTATAAGACAGTCAAGTGAAGAGGGATATTGACAAATAAATATGCAAATGCAACCATTCTGAGCGTGATGACATTCCGAAGGAGAGAGCATAGATATGGTAGCAACAGTTAACAGCAGAGAACGAAGATAGTTACCTGGTCGTCCCACTCTGGCCTCAATCTTCAGAGTTTCGATAATACTTGGTAAANGTTACCTGGTCGTCCCACTCTGGCCTCAATCTTCAGAGTTTCGATAATACTTGGTAAACGGCCTACACACCAAACTGTAATTAAAGACAATAGATTTAAAATGAGAAATGTAGCATGGACAAAGATATTTTGACACGTAATTCATACGTTTGAACTGAGAGAAGCTGTAGACCGAACTTCTCACTGCATAGTTATATCAGGAGCAAGAAACACATTTTGATACTTGATCATTTCAGAACATTGACAGTAAAACAAAGCAAAGCTATAAATTATAGTGTTTCTTACCGTATTGGAAGGAAATGTTGAGAGATACATATAAGAATGTTGAAGTATCCATAGAGGATCAATGGTTTGAGGCATCACCAACATAATGCTGTACTCAGTGCAATAAATAGATACCAGAAGAGCAGAGTAAGAACATAAGTTACAAGTTTGAACAGAAAACAACAACGAGAGTACTCCAAAAATGGAAACATCCCCGACTTTGAGAAACTTATCTATTTAAGATACAATGTTTCATCTTGTCTTTTCTTCGCAACGAAAGTTCCAGGCTTTTGTTGTGCATCGGGGTGATTAGCGAGTTCCGGCGGGCATGTTGAACATGGCGATTCCACAAGCATTTGCTTCATGTCATAGAATAGGAGAGAATCTTCAGGTGTTAAGAACGTAATAGCCAATCCAGATTTTCCGGCACGTCCTAGAAGAAGAGAAGTTAGAATTTGGTTCATAACAA